CGCGGCTGTGCAGCGCCTCCAGAACCAGCAGGTAAAGCACCAGCACCCTCAGCGGCAGCACCAGCGCCAGTAGCACCCCCAACCCCAGCAGCGACAACTCTAGCACCCTCAGTAGCACCAGGGTCAGCAGCACCTCCAGCGCCAACACCCACAGCAGCTCCAGCTCCAACAGGACCACTGGAAAACTCTATAGCTCCAGCAGCTCCAGCAACACCTACCCCAGCAGCAGCGCCAGCTCCAGCACCGCCAGCAGCTTTAGCACAAGGAGCACCCCCAAGCCCAGTAGCTCCAGTACCTTTAGTACGAGCACCTCCGGGACCCGTGGCACCAGTATCCTCAGCAGCAGTAGAACCTCCAGCTCCAGCAGCACCTCCAGCTCCAGCAGCACAGCTCCAACGCCGAGCAAACCACTCGGGGCGGGGGAAGGGGGTGCAGTGCAGTAGGGGAAGAGACAGTAGTAAGGAACCGACTCGTCGAACGTGACGTCCTGGGAGGACAGAACACTGCGCGAGGTGGGGTGGTAAAACAGCTAACCAGGCGCGTCAAAAGGGAAGCCAAGGAAGACGCAGGGAACAGCACGGGGGGACAGCTTGTCCGCAGACAAGTCGCGGACAAAAGCCCGAGATCCCCAGACACGAAACACAGACGCATCGCCAACCTTCCCCGTCCACCGCAGATTAGGGGAGGTCTCCGGCAACGAGACCCGGGGCTGAAGGTTGATCTGATGCGCCGCGTACTGAACCGCGAACGGCCACAGAAAATGGGGAGCAGCCGCATGGATCATGGACGTACGAGCGACGTCCATGACCATGCCAATGCGGCTCTTAGCAACCCCATTTTGTTGTGGAGAGGCCGGAAGCGTGAACGTCTGGCGGATGCCCCGTACACGACAGAAGGCTCGCAGAAGGTCAGAGGAAAACTCTCGCCTCTGTCGGAGTGGAGACGCAGAACAGGAAAGTCCGAGCCGAAACTCTCTCTGAGCTGGAGACGAGCTGCGCGGATCCAGTCAATCAACACCTCAGTCACCTCACCCTTGCTGCGCAAGGGGAAGACTGTGGTGTAACGCGAGTAGTCGTCAACTACCAGCAAGAAGTATCGTTCGTAACCCTGTCTACGGACGTGGGCGGGGCCCCACACGTCGAGGTGAAGTTTGCAGCGGAGCCTCTGTCGGAGGAAACTCGGGGGAGTGAGGAGCGGCGCGCTGCCGCCCCTCGACGCATGGAACGCAGGTAGGGGCAGGCCCCGGAGGAAGAGGAGGGTGGGACCGGGGAAGAGCAGAGACAAGGACACGGGAGGCCATGCCTCGGAGACGAGGCGGGGAGGGGTGACCAAGGCGGTGGTGCCAGAGGAGAGTCTGGTGAGACAGGAGACGACACAAGCGGGGGGCAGACTCAGGACCAGACCTGGACGCTGCAGCAAAAACCTGACCCGACGCAGCTACCTGACCAGACGCAGCAACCAGAGGAGACTCAGTAGTCAGTGTGTACAGGCTCGACCCCGGCTGACGGGTAAACGTGGCCAAGTGTCGGCCCGTCCGAGCACACGTGCAGTGGGTCACTCGCTGACTCGCAGGAGTGAACTGGTCAACCCCCCCCATCCTGTAGATCAGCACCACTCACCAAGTTCGTAGAGAACGAGGGGATGTAAAGACCTGACAGGGTGCCAGAAGGGGCCGTCGGACACGGTAAGACAGTGGAGAAGTGGGCAAGGACAGGACCCCCAGAGGGGTCTGCCAGGGAGACTGCAACCGGCCGACTAAGCGGCGTGAGTGTGGTGCGGTCTCTAAAGAAGGAGCGGGAAGCACCCGAGTCAAGGGTGAAGGTGTGTGAAGCCTGAGCCGACGTGGTACCTGAGAGAGCAGACTCACCAGCACCTGGGGCAGCAGACTCACCAGCACCTGGAGCAGCAGACGCACTAGCACCTAGGGCAGCAGCCTCTCCAGCACCTAGAGCAGCAGCCTCAATGCCCGGGTCAGGCGGAACACACAGGTAACAGTCACCCTCATCACTAGTAGACACAACATACATGGCAGCAAGAATAGTATCATAATCAAGATCAAAGATAGCAACCCCCGCCCTAAGCAGCTCGCCCCAGCGAGGGATCTCAGTGGCGTCAGGGAATGGGAGACGCCAAGCGTCCGTCAGGCGGCCGAAGCAGCGCTGGGTGGTGTGCAGGCCACCGCACGGCTCACCCGTGCGGTCGCCGGTACGCAGGACGTAGGCACAAGGACCAGCACCCCCACCCCGCTGACGCGCAGTGTACCACTCACGAAGCTGCTGGTGGGGGCGGGGTCTCATGAGTGCGCTGCTGCTGCTGGCGCTGACCACCACCGAAGCCGCCCCGCTGCACAGAGCCACCCCGACCAGCTCCACCGCCGCCACCCCCACCACCGCCACTGCCGCCTCCTCCGCTCCCACCGCCACTGCCGCCGCCGCCTCCGCCTCCACCGCCGCCACCAAAGCCCCCATCCCCGCCACCACTCCCACCGCCACCCCCACCCCCTCCGTCGCCTCCACCGCCACCTCCACTGCCACCTCCACCGCCCCCGCCAGCTCCTCCAGCGCCCTTACCCCCCTTGCTCTTGCCATTGCGGCGTCTCCCGCTAGGGGCAGACGCAGTGCCAACCGACTCGGTGCCAACGAGGTCGACCGCAGCAGCAGAGGAAATAGAGGGCAAAAGGGGGGAGGGGGAGCATCCCTCAAATAAGGGGGTACGAGGGTCACCACGAGAGGATCCTACAGCGACTATACTCTTCTCAGCTGCCAGGAGGCGCTCCTCGAGGAGGTCAACGGTGAGTGTGGTGGGGCAAACAGAGAGGAAGTGGTTCTTGGCGCAGAACTCAGCAGGAAGCGCAGCGCGGTAGCGGGTGTCACTAGTGCGAAGGTGCGTAATGAGGTCAGCGACTGTGGGAAAGGCGGCGAGGTCAGGGAACAGGTATGGCAGCATGAGGCGACTAAGGGCAGCAGTGGGAGGGGAAGAGTAGCGTGCAACTAGAGCGTCGTACAAGGTCTTAGCACTCTTGTACTGACTAAAGTGCACGCGCTCTGTGGACGGCAGGTGACTACGCACAGCAAGACGGGCAGCAGCATCGCGTGTGGCTCACTGTGAGCATCGGCAGCAGGGGTAGCAGAGGCGCCAGACGTGAGATCGAACAGTGAGAGACCATCTTTTCTATCGCACTGCAGGAAAAGCTGCAGATCATCAACCCAGACCTCAAAGTCGACAGCCCGACCCTCAGCATCAAAGCTGAGAATACTTGGGGTAGCCATGATAGCAGCAGCAGCAGGCTAGCAGCAGCAGCAACACGCTAGCAGTGGCAGCAGCAGGCTAGGAGTAGCTCAGCAGGAGAGGCGCGGCTCGGCGGTGCTCTTACCAGGGGCGGGTGGGTAGAGGTCCGCAAGGGGTGGGGCAGGGCCGAGGCGCGCCGGCAGGGACAGGGCCGCGATAGGGCGGCAGAGGAGTGCCGCGCCTCAGCTGTAGGGCAGGGCCGAGACGGCGGCGGCGGCTGTCACGGCAGGAGCGGCGGCGGCTGTCACGGCAGCAGCGTCGGCGGCGACCAGTCGTAGAAGAAGCAGCAACGGCAGCAGGCACGACGGCAGCTGCTGCTGGGGCGGCAACGGCGGGGCGGCAGGGCCGTGAAGAGCTGGGGAGGGGCCGTTAAGGGGCCGTGACGAGCCGCGAAGGAACCGCGGAGGGGCGGTGAAGGAGCTGCGAAGGGCCGCAAAGGGCCGCGAAGGGCCGCAGAGGGGCCGCAAAGGGGCCGCTAAGGGCGGCGAAGGGGCCGAGAAGGGGCAACGAGGGGCCGTGAAGGGGCCGCAAAGGGCAGCGACGGGGCCGACAAGGGGCCGCAAGGGGCCGCGAAGGGGCCGCAAGGGGCCGCGAAGGGCCGCGAAGGGGCGGCGAGGGGCCGCGAAGGGCCGCGAAGGGGCCGCGATGGGACGCGAGGGGCCGCGATGGGCCGTGAGAGGGGCCACGAAGGGCCGCGGAGGGGCCGCGAGGGAGCCGGGAAGGGGCCGCGAAGGGCCGTGAGAGGGGCCGCGAAGGGGCCTTAAGAGGGCGCGATGGGCCGCTAAGGGCAGGGGACGCGACGGGAGGGCAGGCGCACGGGACGCGACTAGGGAAGGCGCGAAGCGCGCTCCGGGCAGGTAAAAAAAAAAAATCGTTTTAGTGGTGGGCCCTAGAAAACGTTCCCACTAGGGAACCTGCTCTATACCATGTGAAATAATGAGGAGTGGATGAACTAGGAAAGTGTGTGATACAAATATGAAACCCTAGAAACCTGTACCCCTTAGTGTCTACCCCACTAGAGCCTACAAACACTATGTCATATATATCTGACACCCGCCAGTCGCGGCCCTGCCCTGCACCCGTCCCTGGTAAGAGCCCGCCCTGCCAAGCGCGCCGCAGCGCCCGCCTGCCAGCCACGCCGCACCGCCTAGCCGCGCCGCGCCGCCCTGCCGAGCTGCGCCGCCATGCCGAGCCGAGCCACCCTGGCGAACCACGCCGCCCTGCTCTGCTGCTACTGCCGCCGTGGCCAGTCCTAATGTTCTTACCTTCGATGCTGAGGGCTGTGCGGTTGATTTTGACGTTTGGGTAGGTAATTTGCAGCTCTATTTTCAGTACGACTCTAGGGACGGAGTCTCGCTCTTTGATCAGACGTCCGGCGCCTCTGTTGCACCTGCTGCCGACGCTGACAGTACGGTTCGCTCACAGTGGACTACTCGTGATGCTGTTGCTCGCATTGCTGTTCGCAGTCACCTGCTGTCTGCTGAGCACGCGCACTTTGGCCAGTACAAGACGGCTAAGTCTCTGTATGGCGCTGTCGTCGCACGATACTCCTCCCCTGCCTCTGCTGCCCTCAGCCGCCTCATGTTGCCGTACTTGTTCCCTTACCTAGCCGCTTTTGCCACAGTCGCTGACCTCATCACTCACCTCCGCACTAGTGACACCCGCTACCGCGCTACGCTTCCCTCTGAGTTTTGCGCCAAGACCCCCCCCCCATGTACATCACCCTCTTCTACCTCGTCACCCATCTCCCTAACTCTCTTCGCTCAGTCATGGACCACTTTCTCTCCCTTTGCCCCACTGAGCTCACAGTCGACATGCTCGAGGAGCGCCTCACTGCAGCTGAGACTAGCATAGTCGATGTAGGAGCTTCTCGCGGCGATCCTCGTGCCCCTTTCTTTGAGGGGTGTTCCCCCGTTCCCCTTTTCCCCTCTGTTGCTTCTGCTGCTGCTGTCAACCTCGTTGGCACCGAGGCGGTCGGGGCTGCGTCTGCTCCTAGTGGGAGGTGCCGCAGCGGCAGGAGCAAGGGGAGCAAGGGTGCTGGAGGAGACGGCGGGGGCAGCGGTGGTGGCGGTGGAGGTGGAGGGGGTGGGAGTGGAGGTGGGGGTGGTGGCGGGAGTGGGGGCTTCGGTGGCGGTGGTGGAGGTGGAGGCGGCGGAGGCAGCGGCAGTGGGGGTGGCGGTGGCGGCGGCGGCAACGGCGGTGGGGGTGCCGGCGGCAGTGGTGCAGGTCGGGGTGGCGCTGTGCAGCGGGGAGGCTTTGGCGGTGGCCAGCGCCAGCAGCAGCCGCGTTCCCGTGAGGCCCCGTCGCCCCAGCAGCTTCGTGAGTGGTACGCTAGGCGTGGGAGGTCTGGGGGTACTGGTCCCTGCGCTTACGTTCTCCGCACCGGCGAGCGCCGTGGGGAGACGTGCGGGCTGCCACACGCGACAAAGCGCTGTTTCGGTCGCGTGACTGACGCCTCGCGCGCACAGTTTCCTGACGCCACTAAGCTCCCTCTCTGGGCTGATGTGCTTAAGTCTGGTGTTGCTATCTTTGATCTTCATTATGATGCTATCCTTGCTGCCATCTATGCTGTGACTATTAGTGCTGAGGGTGACTGTTACCTGTGTGTGCCGCTCGACCCAGGTATAGAGGCTACTACTTTAGGTGCTAGTGAGTCTGCTACTCCAGGTGCTGGTTAGTCTGCTCTCTCAGGTCCTGCACCTGGTGAGGCCTTGCACACTTTCACGCTTGACTCACGTGCTTCCCGCTCATTCTTTTTCGACTGCACCACACTCACGCCGCTCAGTCGGCCGGTTGCTGTCTCCCTAGCGGACCCCTCTGGGGGCCTGGTCCTTGCGCACTCCTCTACGGTTCTGCCATGTCCGGCGGTCCCGTCTGGCTCACTGTCGGGTCTTCACCTCCCTTCGTTCTTTACGAACTTGGTCAGTGGAGCTGACCTCCAGGACGTGTGGGTTGACCAGTTCACTCCTGGAGGTGAGCGGGTGACCCACTATACGTATACTCGGATGGGCCGCCACCTGGCCACGTTCACCCATCAGCCTGGGTCGAGCCTGTACACGCCGACTACTGCGTCTCCTCCGATTGTTGAGTCTAGTCAGGTAGCCGCATCTGGTCAGGTGTTTGCTGCCGCGTCCAGGTCTGGTCCGAAGTCTGCCCCCTGCTCGTGTCGTCTCCTATCACACCAGACTCTCCTTTGGCACCACCGCCTTGGTCACCCCTCCCTGCCTCGTCTCCGAGGTATGGCCTCCCATATCCTTGTCACTGGTCTCCCCCGGTCTCTCCCTCCCCTCCCCCCGGGGCCTGCCCTACCTGCATTCCTTGCGTCGAGGGACGGCGCGCGCCGCCCCTCACTCCTCCGAGTTCCCTCCGACGGAGGCTCCTTTGCAGACTCTCCACATGGACGTGTGGGGCCCAGCCCGTGTCCGTGGACAGGGTCACGGGCGTTACTTTCTGCTGGTCCTTGACGACTACTCGCGTTACACCACAGTCTTCCCCTTGCGCCACAAGGGTGAGGTCACTGAGGTGCTGATCACTTGGATCCGCGCTGCCCGTCGCCAGCTCCGCGAGAATTTCGACTCGGACCTTCTTCTGCTGCGTCTGCACTTCGACACAGGTGGAGAGTTTTCCTCCGACCTTCTGCGGGCCTTCTGTCGTGCGGAGGGCATCCGCCAAACGTTCACGCTTCCGGCCTCCCCACAGCAAAATGGGATTGCTGAGCACCGCATTGGCATGGTCATGGACGTCGCTCCTTATCCACGATCCATGTTGCTGCTCCCCATTTTCTGTGGCCGTTCGCGGTTCAGTACGTTGCGCATCAGCTCAACCTCCAGCCCCGTGTCTCCATGAAGGAGACCACACCTGCTCTACGGTGGATGGGGCAGGCTGGAAATGTGTCTGCGTTCCGTGTCAGGGGATCTCGAGCGCTTGTCCGCAATTCTCCCGCGGACAAGCTGTCCTCCCGTATTGTTCCCTGCGTCAACCTTGACTTCCCCCCTGACGCGCCTGGTTAGCAGTTTTACCACCCCTCCTCACGTCATGCTCTGTCCTCTCAGGACGTCACGTTTGACGAGTCGGTTCCTTACTACCGTCTCTTCCCCTACCGCACTGCCCCCCTCCCCCCCCCCCCCCCCCCCCACTCTTCCTAGCACCAGGTCCTCTGGTAGACCCCCTTTTTCTCAGGGTCCTGCCCCCTCAGGTGTGTCCCAGGTAGACACTGTCGAGCCTGTCGAGGTAGTTGTCAAGTTTGGTGTTGCTAGGGGTGCTGAGCCTGCGGGTGCGGGGCCTAAGGGTGCGGAGCCTAGGCGTGTGGAGCCTGTGGATGCTGAGCTTGGGGTTGCTAAGTCTGCAGGTGCGGAGCCTGGGGGTGCTGAGCCTTGGGTTGTTGAGTCTGAGGGTGCGGAGCCTGGGGATGCTGAGCCTAAGCGTGCTGAGCTTGGAGGTACCTTGTCCTCTGGAGGTCCTCCGGGTGTCTTGTCTCGACGGGAGCCACTCTCTCCACCGCAGCTGCACGAGTGGTTTGCTCGTCGCTGGAGCCGTGCTATTGGAGCTGGGAAGCCTGCGGCTAGGGGTGCTACTGGCACTGGAGGTACTCCTGGTGCTGTAGCAACTGAAGGTGCTGGCGGCGCTCGTCCCAGAGGTGCTCGTACTGGAGGTCACGAAGCTACTGGAGCCGGAGGTGCTACTGGAGCTGGAGGTACTGCTGCTGCTAGAGCTGCTGGAGGTACTGGAGCCGCTGGTCCCAGAGGTGCTCGTACTGGAGGTACTGGAGCTGCTAGGGCTGGTGGTGCTGCAGGAGTTGGAGCTGGGGGTGCTCGAGCTGTTGCTACTAGAGGTGCTGCTGGAGCTGGAGCTGCTGGAGGTACAAAAGCTGGTGGTGCTGCAGGAGTTGGAGCTGGAGACCCTGGAGGTGGGGGTACTGGCGCTGTCTCTGCTGGTTCTGGAGGCGCTACACGGCCGCGGCCGTACTTCGTTCCACTCCTTCAGCAGGTTCTTGGTCTTCCGCCCTCTACTGGTCCTACTCCTCCCTTACTGTGTCTGCCGCCTGACCAATCGCAGCCGTAGTTACAACCAGCCTCCCCACTGCCTGGTCCTCCTTACACTGGGCCGACCGGAGGTCTTGCTGAGCGTCTTGAGCCTGCGTCTCACCCTGCGTCGCCTGTTCGCGCTGCTCGCAGTAGTTGTTGTGTTCCGCGTCCGTGTCCTCCTCCTGTCCCTGGCACGCACCAGATGGCACTTCGTCCTTCCTCAGTTCCACTGCGGCTCCCTCTGCCATCTCCTCCTACGTCCTCCATTGCTGACGGTCCGGACCCCGAGTCTGACTCACTTCGTGCTGCCAGCCCTACTGTCACGCGTCTGCTAGCTACTGTTGTCACTGACCCTTCCTTTACGTCCACTGCTGCGTCTGCCTTAGTTGCTGAGCTTGTTGGCTTTGGTGCTCGTTGTCGTCTCGACTACGCCACTAGTCTTGTTGCTGAGTCTGAGTCTGTCTGTCCTCCGTCTGTCGGGGGTGAGTGTGCTCTTGGCATGGACGTGCTTGAGGACAGGCGGGAGGACTTTGAGTGCTTTGCAGCTGCTGTACCTCATCTCGTGTCCATGATGTTTTCTCCTGAGGGAAACCCGGATGCACCAGACATCCCGACCCCGCGCTCTTACGTAGAGGCGATAGAGGGTCCCTACTCCTCTCAGTGGCAGTCAACCATGGACGCAAAGATGGCATCCTGGAAGTCTACAGGCACTTACGTTGATGAGGTTCCACCTCCTGGGGTGAACATCGTCAGTGGCACGTGGATTTTCAGGGGCGAACATCGTTAGTGGCATGTGGATTTTCAGGGTCAAGCGGCCGCCGTGTTCTCCGCCTGTCTTCAAGGCGCGTTACATTGCACGAGGCTTCTGTCAGCGATAGGGAGTTGACTACTTCCAGACCTTCTCCATGACCCCGAAGATGACCACTCTTTCGGTGCTGCTGCACGTCGCCGCTCAACGTGACTACAAGCTTCACTCTCTTGACTTCAACACTGCTTTCCTACAGGGCAGCCTGCACGAGGAGACCTGGCTGTGCCACCTACCTGGCTTCACTGGGTCGTTTCCTGCAGGTACCTAGTGGAGCCTCCAACGGCCAGTCTACGGTCTCTGCCAGGCGCCTCGTGGGTGGAACGACACACTGAGGACGACCCTTGCGGCTCTTGGCTTTGCTCCTTCTACTGCTGACCTGTCGCTGTTTCTACGCAACGACACTTCGCTGCCGCCGTTCTACATCCTCGTGTATGTCGACGACTTGGTTTTTGCCACTGCTGACACTGAGGCACTGACTCTAGTGAAGTTGGAGCTGCAGAAGAGACACACGTGCACAGACCTCGGTGAGCTGCGCAGCTACCTTGGCTTGCAGATCATCTGGGACAGAGCACGGTGCACCATTACCTTGACTCAGTCACACATGGTGCAGCAGGTCTTTCAGTGCTTCGACTTCAAGTACTCCTCGCCACAGTCTACTCCTCTGCCTACCGGTCACTTGCTCTCAGCTCCACCTTCGGATGAGTCCGTAGAGCCGAGTGGCCCGTATCCAGAGCTTGAGGGTTGTCTCATGTACCGGATGATATGCACTCGACTTGACCTTGCTTACCCTCTTATCTTCCTTGCACGCTACGTTGCGCCCGCAAGACACCGACCAGAGCACTGGAAGGCCGCTAAGAGGGTGATGTGCTACTTGTGCAGTACGTGGAGCATGGGGCTCGTGCTTGGAGGACGGGGTCCAGTTGTCCTCACTGGTCACGCAGACGCGTCTTGGGTTGACAGCTTGGCTACGCAGCGGTCGTCACAGGGTTACACCTTCGGGCTTGGCTCCGGTTCTGTTTCGTGGCGATTTACCCGCTCGTCTTGTGTTCTCAGCTCCAGTTGTGAGGCTGAGATCTACACAGGGGTCATGGTTGCACAGGAGTTACGCGGGCTCACCTAACTGCTAACCGACTTGGGAGAGGTGCCTTGTTCTCCTCTAGTTCTATACGTCGACAACAAGGCCATGATTGCCTTGTGTCAAGAGCACAGACTTGAGAAAACTAGAATGAGAAATGAATGCAGTATGATAGAGTTGGGTACAAGTACTAACCCTAATTGGGTTGTACCCCATATGGGCTACCCCACTACAACCTACACAAAAGCATAAGCTATAATGTTCTGACACACCCCCATAGGCAAAGTGGGGGAGTACAAGGGGTCACAAGACCAGTCAAGCAAACCTAAGCAAAGCAAGCTCAGGGTGGATCACAAAGTCACCACACATTCCGAGCACAAGGTCAAGGCCACAAGGCCAGTTCACATGCAAGAGCACATATATATATATAAGGCTAGACAAGCAAGAGCAGGTGTATATATATATGTAACAGTACAAACAAGGTCAAGAGGTGAGCAAGTGAGGCAAGGCAGGCACAAGACCCAGCTGAGTACAGAAGCGCGGATAATCACAAGGCGCAAGCGCCTTGGTGAAAATATCAGCAGTTTTGGCCTAAGAGGCCACGTACGCAAGACGCAGCTGACCAAGCTGCTGCAGCTCACGAGCAAGGAAGTAGCGAAGAGCAATGTGCTTCGTTCTGTGCTCCCGTCTCTGCTCTCGACACAAGGCCAGCATGGCCTTGTTGTCTACGTACAGCACTGGAGGAGAACAAGGCGGCTCTCCGAGGTCAGTCAGCAGTTAGGTGAGCCAGCGAAGCTCCTGTGCAGCCATGGCCCCGGCGTAGATCTCAGCCTCACAACTGGAGCCGAGAACAGAAGACGAGCGGGTAGCCCGCCACGAAACAGAGCCGGAACCAAGGCTGAAGGTGTAACCCTGTGACGACCGCTACGTAGCCTGGTCGTCAGCCCAAGAAGCGTCTGCGTGCCCAGTGAGGACCACTGGACTCTGCCCTCCAAGCAAAAGCCCCATGCCCGACGTACTGCACAAGTAGCGCAACACCCTCTTTGCTGCAGCCATGTGCTCCTGTCTCTGTCTCTCAGGAGCAACATAGCGTGCCAAAATGCTAAGAGGGTATGCAAGGTCAGGTCGAGTGCAGGTCATCAGGTACATAAGAATTGTGTACCCCCTATAGGCTAACCCACTGTAGCCTAAACAAGCACAACAACATATATAATGTTTGACAGAGGAGTACGTGAAGCCGAAGCGCTGAAGGACCTGCTGCACCATGTGTGACTGAGTCAGGGTAATGGTGCGGCGTGCTCTATCCCGGGTGATCTGCAAGCCAAGGTAGCTGCGCAGTTCACCCAGGTCTGTGCACGTGTGTCTCTTCTGCAGCTCGGAATTCACGTGGGCGAGTCCAGCAGTGTCAGCTGTGGCAAAGACCAAGTCGTCGACGTACACGAGGATGTAGGACGGCAGCAAAGAAGTGTCGGTGCGCAGAAACAGCGACGGGTCGGCAGTAGAGGGAGCAAACCCAAGAGCCGCAAGCGTAGTCCTCAGTGTGTCGTGCCACTCACGCGGTCCCTGGCGAAGACCGTAGACTGGCCGCCGGAGGCTCCACTGGGTGCCAGGAGGAAAAGTCCCAGTGAAGCCAAGTGGGCGGCGCAGCCAGATCTCCTCGTGCAGGCTACCCTGCAAGAAAGCAGTGCTGAAGTCAAGAGAGTGAAGCTCGTAGTCACGCTGAGCGGCTATGTGCAGCAGCACCCGAAGAGTGGTCATCTTCGGGGTGGGAGAGAAGGTCTGAAAGTAGTCAACTCCCTGCCGCTGACTGAAGCCACGAGCCACGTACCGCGCCTTGAAGACAGGCGGAGAACCCGGCGGCCGCTTCACCCTGAAAATCCACATGCCACTGACGATGTTCGCCCCAGGCGGGGGAACCTCGTCAATGTAGGTGCTTGTGGACTTCCAGGAAGCCATCTCTGCGTCCATGGCGTCCTGCCACTGAGAGGAGTAGGGACCCTCTATCGCCTCCGCGTAAGAGCGCGGAGTCGGGATGTCAAGTGCATCCGGGTCTCCCTCAGGGGTAAGCAGTACTGACACGAGATGAGGTGAAGCAGCAGCCAAACACTGGAACTCCTCCTGCCAGTCTGAAAGGACGTCCGTGCCAAGGGCACACTCACCCCCGACGGACGGAGGACAGACAGACTCAGACTCAGCGACAAGACTAGCATCGTAGTCTAGGCGACAACGAGCAGCAAAGTCGACGAGCTCAGCGACGAGGGCAGACGCAGTAGTGGACTCAGAAGTAGGGTCAGTGACGACAGTAGCGAGGAGACGCGTGACAGTAGGACTGGCAGCACGAAGAGAGTCCGACTCCGGGTCGGCAAGAGCAGGAAGAGAGGACTCAGGAGGAGAAGGCAAAGGGGCACGCAGAGGAGCAGTGGACGGACGCAGAGACATCCGGTGCGTGCTAGGGACAGGAGGAGGACGCTGACGCAAACTACGACCACTAGTGCGAGCAGGACGGACAGGCGAAGTAGTGCGAGACGCAGGCTCACAACGCTCAGCAAGACCTCCAGTAGGACCAGTGTAGGGAGAGGGAGCAGGCAGTGGGGAGGCCGGCGGTAACTGTAACTGTGACGGGACAGGCTGTGGACACTCTAAGGGAGGAGGAGGAGCAGTAGAAGGCGGAAGACCAAGAACCTGCTGAAGGAGCGGAACGAAGTACGGCCGAGGCCGCTCAGCGACTCCAGACACAGCAGGGACAACACCAGCACCCCCAGCGGCAGCACCAGCGCCAGCAGCATCTCCAGCTCCAATACCTCCTGTAGCACAAGTAGCACCGCCTCCAGGACCGACAACAGTAGCCTCAGCACCAACACCCTCAGCAGCTCCAGCTCCGGTCGCACCCGCTGGCCCAGCAGCTCCAATACCTCCAGTACGAGCACCTCCGGGACCCGCGGCACCAGCACCCTCAGCAGCCGAAGACCCTCCAGCTCCAGCAGCACGCCTCCAGCGCCGGGCAAACCACTCGCGCAGCTCCTGTGGAGAGAGTGGCTCCCGCCGAGACGAAGCACCCGGAGAACCTCCAGGCCAAGCACCGCCAAACGCCACACGAGCAGGCCTAGCCCCCTCAGGCTCCACACCCCCGGGCTCAGAACCCCCAGTCTCAGCACCCCCAGGCGCAACACCCTCAGCAGCACCAGAGTCACCAGTGACCTCGACACACTCGACTGCGTCTACCTGGGACACACCTGAAGGGGCTGGACCCTGAGGGGGGAGGGGGTCTACCGAGGGGGAACTGGTACGAGGAAGAGCGGCGGCGGGGGGAGGGACGGAGTGCGGTAGGGGAAGAGGCGGTAGTAGGGGACTGACTCGTCAAACGTGACGTCCTGGGAGGACAGAACACGGCGAGAGGTGGGGTGGTAGAACTGCCACCCTGGCGCGTCAGGGGGAAAGCCAAGGAAGACGCAAGGAGCCGCACAAGGGGACAACTTGTCCGCAGACAAGTTGCGGACAAACGCCCGAGATCCCCAGACACGAAACGCAGACGCATCGCCAACCTTCCCCGTCCACAGCAAGGCTGGGGAGGTCTCCGGCATGGAGACCCTGGGGTGAAGGTTGATCTGATGCGCCGCGTACCGAACCGCAAACGGCCACAGAAAATGGGGGGCAGCGGCATGCATCATGGACGTACGGGCGACGTCCATGACCATGCCAATGCGGCGCTCAGCAATCCCATTTTGTTGTGGAGAGGCCGGAAGCGTAAAGCTCTGCCTGAGCTGGAGACGAGCTGCGCGGATCCAGTCGATCAACACCTCAGTGACATCACCCTTGCTGCGCAAGGGGAAGACGGTGGTGTAACGGGAGTAGTCGTCAACCACCAGCATGAAGTAGCGCTCGTGACCCAGTCCACGGACGCGGGCAGGGCCCCACACGTCCATGTGAAGCGTCTGCAGCGGGGCCTCTGTCGGAGGAAACTGGGAGGAGTGAGGGGCAGCGCGCTGCCGTCCCTCGACACAAGGGACGCAGGTAGGGCCAGGCTTTGAAGGAAGGGGAGGAGAGGGACAGGGGAAGACCAGAGACAAGGACACGGGAGGCCATGCCTCGAAGACGAAGCAGGGAGGGGTGACCAAGGCGGTGGTTCCAGAGGAGAGTCTCGTGAGACAGGAGGCGACACGAGCATGGGGCAGACTCAGGACCAGACGTGGACGCTGCAGCAAACACCTGACCCGACGCAGCTACCTGACCAGACGCAGGGACAGGAGGAGACGCAGTGGTCAATGTGTACAGGCTCGACCCCGGCCGACGAGTAAACGTGGCCAAGTGTCGGCCCGTCCGAGCGTCCGTGCAGTGGGTCACCCGCTGGATCGCAGGAGTGAACTGGTGAACTCCCCCATCCTGTAGGTCAGCACCACTCACCAAGTTCGTAGAGAACGAGGGGAGGTAAAGACCAGACAGGGTGCCAGAGGGAGCCGCCGGACACGGGAGGACAGTGGAGAAGTGAGCAAGGACAGGACCCCCAGAGGGGTCTGCCAGAGAGACTGCAACTGGCCGACCAAGCGACGTGAGTGAGGTGCGGTCTCGAAAGAAGGAGCGAGAAGCCCCCGAGTCAAGGATGAAGGTGAGGGAGGCCGAAGCCGACTCGGTACCTGAGAGCGCGGACTCATCAGCACCTGAGGAAGCAGACGCACTAGCACCTAGAGCAGCAGCCTCGCTAGCACCTAGAGCAGCAGCCTCACCAGTACCTAGAGCAGCAGTCTCAATGCCCGGGTCGGGCGGGAAACACCGGTAACAGTCACCCTCATCACTAATAGTCACAGCATACATGGCAGCAAGAATAGTATCAAAGTCAAGGTCAAAGATAGCTACTCCCGCCCTAGACAGCTCACCCCAACGGGGGATCTCCGTGGCCTCCGGGAACTGGTGACGCCAAGCGTCCGTCAGGCGGCCAAAGCAGCGCTGGGTGGAGTGCCCACCCCCGCACTGCTCACCCGCGCGGTCGTCGGTGCGTAGGACGTAGGTGCACGGACCAGTACCCCCACCCCGCTGGCGTGCAGCGTACC